TTCATCTCACTAACATTCAGGAAAGGGTTGGTCCCAGCAGTGAATTACCCACTGCCACCACATTTGTCCTCCGAGATGGGTGACAGGACATCAGCCCAGACACAGATTATATTTCACTGAATTGAAATTCAGTAGGGTTTTGGGACTTTAAAGGTCAGACAATTTTTTAGGGATGAATACTCCAAAATAATGAAGATGAATATTAAACCACTTAGAAAAGAATGGATGTTTAAGAGCTATATTATTATTGCTATTCAGAAGCATGAGCACAGATGCAGCAGTGGGTATTGCAACCTGAAATAATTCCAAAGGACTACATTATTTCCAGTATAACTGGGAAAAGTGTTGCCATGTCATTAATCAACAGGGAAATATCTGCATCACGGCAGATGACAGCAGCTTGTTGACGTCCTCCTTATCTCACACATTTTTTACTGTCTGGTACCCAGGGAGGACCTCTTTTAGGAACCTGTTTGAAAAGCATTATCCAATGGCTTGTGTCAGTGCTGAACCTGTCCATCTCAGATCTTGTGTGTAAAGGATAATTTATGGAAGAAAATTACTGGAAGAAGTGGTACCTTGAAGGCAGCCTGCAATTTAGATGTTAAAGGGTTTTCCCATTGTCCTTGGTTATCTCCACCAGGTGGGAACTGCAGGGTGGGAAAATGGAGGGTGCCCTCACCTGCCTCTGTGCAATCACTGACATCCAAGAGCTCTCACCCTGGACCCCAAAGCCTGTGGTAATGCAGGTGAATCTGCAGCTGCATGCTGGGACTCCTCCAAGGAAGGCACCTTCTTGGGTGTTTGCAGCATCCTTGTGCTGTTGGGAAGGTCTTTGCTGCCTCTCCTAAAACGTGCTGTCGCAGCCTGAACAGTATTAGCCAAGCTGGGAAGCTTTTTGATCCTGTGAGCCATCACCTCAGTGCCCCTGAAGGGAGCTTGCCCGTTGCTGGAGTTTCTGGTGTCATCTCTCCTGGGCAGTATGGGTTTATCATGGGTACAGAGGCACAGGGACATGTTCTGCTCCAGCAGACTAATGGGGAGTTGTAGCTTTTCATGTGCTCCTTCTGGAGGCTCTAACTCAGCTTCCTAACTTCAGGAGCCATCTGGAAAAGCAGACACCAGAGTGGAGCTGTCAGCAGGATGGGAAGAGATGGCGCAGCCTGGGCAGCACCAGTGGGGCATGGGGATCTGTGACTGGACCACCTGCTCCTGCCAGCTCTGCACCGATAACCAGTGCTTCATCATGAACACCTCCAGTGCCAAACCAGTGCACAGAGAGGTGTCGTTATTCAGAGGCAGCAGCTGCCGTTAACATGGTGACTTGTGCCTTGAGCATGGTGCCTTGAGATAGTCCCACACTGAAGCAGATGCACAGGGACGTGGTCACACACCACAACACACGGCAACTGCACATCCTGTAAAATGCACTCTCCAAATGGGTAAGGGCAGGAGGATACTTATCAGTGTTGCAGTGATGAGGTCTTGGCAAGTTCTTTGGCTATTTGCTTTCCACACACACGCTGAACAGACAACAGCCAGTGGCACTGGACATGTGAACAAAACACAGTGTTTCAGATTTCCATGAAAGTGGCTCTGGAAATCTCATAGGGCAGCATCAGGAAGCTGGCTTGCTGTGCATACAGCTCTGGCAGAGTCCATCTCCCTGCCCAGATGGAAACATCTCAAAGGAGCTGACTCCTTGCTGCCCCAGGACCTCACTGTCCCAGGGTAGATGGACAACCTGGAAGTGCAGCCTGGAAGTGCTTCAGTAGTCTTATAGTTTCCAGGAGATTAAAAGCAAACAAAAAAAAACCTAAACCAACCAACTAAACAAAAAAAATACCAAGACAAAACAAGCAAAAAAGAGCAAGTTGTTAGCTGTGTCTATTAAACTTGGTGTTGTTTAAACCTAAGGATGCACCTCAGCACCAGTCCCTGAGCATTAAACATGGAAAATTGAGATTCAAATTCTCACTGCAGATCTAGTCAAGTCTGGGTTGCCTGCTTCCCAGGAACTGATGCTCCACAGGCTGCTCTAGGGTTCAATTTGTCTCTGAACAGAAATTTTTTCTTCAATTAATGTTTCCTCTACTGTATACAAAAAAAGAAAACAAACCAAGAAACAACAAAACCAGAACAAGACCATGATAAATCTGTGTATTTCTGTGAAAACGAGGTTTACTCGGAAAACTCCCAACTAGCTCTCCCTATTGCATTGCAGGACTGCAAGAGCCAAGTGCACACTGGAGTAAGGGGTGCCAGCAGGGTGTAATGTCTGGGTCTTTCTAGCTGAAATGCCCTGGAATAGCACTAAGATGTGACCCATCACACCACCACTGCTTGGGAGTCAGAGCACCCAGGAGGCTGCAAGGTCAGAGGGTACTGCATCCCTATTTCCTGGACCACTGATGAGCCACCAGCTCCTCAGTGTCCACAAACATGTTTTCCTGACCCTTTCTAACCTATGAAGAAAAGCACTTTCCAGTGTTAACCCGTTCACTTACTTTGGTGAGTACCAGTGGTGAGACATTGACCATGGAGCTGTGTCAGGCCTGTGGAGTCACTTGTAGAAAGAGCATTCAAAACAACACAGCGTCTGCCTGTACAGCAGCCCACCTGCATCCCCAGCAAGGCAGAGGGTGCTTAATGCTTGGAGGTGTCAGCTGTTGCAGCACTCACCAGGACCTAAGAAAACACTGTTTGTGGGACAGTACATCCTTCAGCTTTACGACCCAAGGTGATCTGCATGATTCTTCACTAAGTATTCAAGCTTGGGTCCCTGTAACATCATCTTTGCTTCTGGACCAAAGATAACAGGTCACCTTTGCTTGTTGATATTCTCTTTATGTGGGTGAAATGCTGCTAAAGCCATTCTAGGCAAAGTAGCTCCTGTTGCTGGTCCACCAACAGGATTATTCATCCCAGTATACAGCTGGCATGCTCTACTCCACAGACTTTCCAAGGTTTTTTTTCCAAAATTTGATCCACGACTTCGGCACATTTTGCCCCAGTGAAAGCTGGATTTCTAACAAACATTGAGCTGACAGGTGGAACTTACCTTGACAATTAATTAAAAGAATGTAGAAAGGAATCAGCAAGGGAAAAGCAGCTCTGCTATGTGCATGAAAGCTTGAAATTGGAGCCACAGAATGAGGGTAATAACATGATATTAATGTGAAATGAAATCCTGAGAGCTGATATGGTCCATGCAGTGAGTTTGGAACTTGTGGGTTTAATAAGGGTTTCAGCAGCTGCACAGCCTAATGCGGGATGTCAAAAGGAAGCAGCAGCCCCTCAATTCTTCTCATAACTCACACTTCTGAGTCACGGATTCACTCTGCCTGTCTGTTTCGCCAGTGTTAAGTGGCATCTGCTTGCAGTAAGAAAGGTCAATTGTCCTGTAACTTCACCAGGGAAGTCACTTCAGTCTGCAGTAAAAGAGGTCATGAGCTTGCGGACTCAATTTCCATTAAAAGCTTTATTGAAAATTAGTTTATTTTGGGCTCATCCTCTTCCAGAATCCAAACCCCAACTACACTATACAGTAGGAAAGTAAAGAGCAAGATGTGCTGTTACTATAATCCACATCAAATGTGCAGTGCCAGAAAGACCCTTTCCCATACTTTGTGAGAATAAGAGCCATGAGTCCAGCTCCTTATCAAAATAGATATTTTTACCCCTTGAAGTCTCCATTGGCCATGACATTCTTGTGCACTGGATAAAACAGGGACCGCTCATTCCCATAGTCTCTGGAACCAGACCTACACCAAGTTTTCTGCACATGCAAAAGCTCTTGGGTGCCTGGCCCACTGGTGAGCTCAGGGTGCTTGTTGCCAATGCCTTGAGTGAATCCTGCTGCTCGCTCTGCAGCCAACAAAGGAGAAAGTGTAAGAGAAAACCCAAGGGTGAGGCTCCTGGCTTAGCTCAGAGACTCCTCCCATGGGCTGCCTTGACCTGGGGAGATTCTGGTGTCTCTGCTGGTATGGGAAATCATGCTCAGCCAGCTGCCCAGGCTGAGGTCCATCGCCTGCACACTGTGGCAGAAGCACCAGTGGCACCAGGTCCCCCCATGGGGAGCAGCTGGGCCAGGGGAGCCACGTCAGGCAGCTCCATCTCCTGCCCTTCGCACAGCCAGCATGAAGCCAGTCCCACCAACAATAAATGTTTATACTAGCTGTAATCTGTTCCTGAGAAGTTGTATTAAAGCTGGTCAATTCACTGTGGGTTTCATGGAAGCTATAATTAGATCTGTAAGCCATATGGGATTCTTGACAGAGAAAAGAAAAAAAAACAAAAAAAATCCCTGGTCTTGTTTGAGAAGCAAGGCATGACAGGGAGACCTGCAATCACGCTGCATTGGCAGCATGGCCAAAGGGGTTGGTACAGCCACATTGGGGGTGCAGCCCCAGCTGTCCCCTGCCCAGCTTTCCCGTGTTAGGGTTGGCATTGCACAAGAGCTTGTGGCACGCTGTGTTCCATGTTTGGCCTGTTTCACGCCACTCCTGGCACCCAGTGCTCCAGGAGGCCATGGTGCCATACCCCACGTTCCCCACCTGGCCTAGAGAGGGGCAGCCTGGCTGCAAGAGAGGGGGTTTTGTGGGGCCAGCAGCCCCCCAGCTATCCCAACCACAGGCAGTGGCAGATGGGGTGCTCCCTTCCTGCACCAAGCTGTCACCCAGAACCATAGGTCAAAGCGGGGTGGCACTCCTGCAGCACCAGTGCCTGACGCAGTCGGTTACCCTGGGCAGGCAGCACTTGTGGCTGCAGGCTGTGGCCAGCACAGATTAGTGCTGCTCATTCAGCAGAGCAGAGCCCCCACACTGTACGGATGCAGGTACTCCACTGCTGCAGTGCCCAGCCTGACCCCACTCAGCAATGCTGGGCATGCAGAACACAGGCAGCACAGGGCCCTTTTGTGCAGAGAAGCAGCACTGTGTACGGACGGGCATGCCTGCTGTCAGGCAGAACCCTCCAGATCAACCAACATGCCCATGACATCATAGTAAAACATTTATTTGTTCAGGTGATATAAGCTACCATGTTTACAGTTTGTGAACTCACCATTGGAGACAGGAGACATTTAACATGACTCGGGACTGCAGCTGTTGCCACCAGATTTTTCATTGTAATTTTTAAGTTTTATAAAAACCTTGGACACCAGAAAAAAAGGTATTTAGACTTAATGTGGCAGATGGAGATGGGCAATCTGTGAAAGGGGGAAGACAGTTTATCAGACGCAGCCAACCTCGACGGCCTCTTGGCTTTGGCTGCAGCTTCAAGTAAAGGTTTCGGTAGGGTGAGCGTGGTGCAGCACATTAATCTTCAGTGAATTGGAATCGTATTGTTTTCTGCCGAGTAAGAACATCGGTTGCAACGTTTTCAGGGAGCAGAGGAGGGCAGGCATCCTGCGGATCAGCCCCGGCTTCTGTGCAAAGAGACAAAACAGAGACAGTGAGGGAACAAGGAGCAGGATCCGGCCTTTTGCTGCAGCCGAAGCTGACCTGCCATAGGGATGCACTCAGCGGGGCCAGCCTGATCACGGCACTGCATCAACAGCTAGGCAGGGAACAGGCAGCAGAGCCTGCCCTCAGCCCTGCACCCACTCCTTGGGTGCCAGCAGCACTGTGGGACTAGGGCACAGCAGGCAGAGCATGGCAGCTAACAAGAGAAAGGGTTAATGGCAGCTGGCATCCCCAGCCCAGCTCAGCCAGCCATCACCAGCTTCCACACCAGCTGGATGTGCTGGTGCTGCTGCTGAGGGGAAAACCAAACTAACAAAAAATCTTCCTAAACCCCCAAACGGAATCAGTAAAGCTCATTGTTCCAGAATCAAGAGAAATTTATGGTTTCTATATTTGCTTCCACCTTCATTGAGGCCAAGCTTTTCTCCATGGCAGGGGTTTCAACCCTGCATGGTTTCAGAGATTTGCACAGAAGTGAAAAACATCAGCATGGAGCAGTGGCTGGGCACAAATCCAGCACTTGCCTTCACGAGGTGTACATGCGAGACAAAAGGTCACTGTGTTGAGAATGTGCAGATTTTTCATGGTCCTGCTCTGAGGTCCCACATCATTTGCATCAACCCATGGCACTGCGGATAGCAGGACTGCTGCAGGAAAAGCATGGTCCCACCATGCCTGGCCTTGCTCCCTGCCACCCCAACACCACCACTTCACTTACCTTAGCGAATGCAAAACTGCAGTACATAAATGCAAACTAAACACCACGTTCTAAATTCATCCTTGCTTGCTGGGGGTAGCAGCTCCCAGCTGCCTACAGACCATCCATGTGAAGCCAAGGCCAGCTCTGGTGGGGTTCCCTGTGTGACCACATCATGATGCTGTCCTCTGCCACCCCCAAAGACCCAGGACCATGGCCCTTAATGGTTTTCCTCATCTGTCCCTCCCAGTGCAAGTGTTCCCTGCAAAGAAGACTGCACGGCTGGCACACAAAACACAGCGCGCACCTCTAGAGAGGCAGTTTAGCACTCACATGTAAAACTGGCAGCCCAGGAAGAAATGCAGCTCAGCCCCAGGCTAGGCACACCAACTTGGTATCTACTTCCAGATTTATGACAGGAATGCTTTCTGAAGTGCGACGCTTGAAACAACCTGAGGTGATGCAGTTTGTTCCAGAACAACAAAACCAGAAGCTTGTTCTGTTCATATTCATACAGTTGCCATTGTGGGACCTCTCAGCAGCCAGTGATGTGCCATGTTTGCTTTTTTCCCTTTTTAGTTTCCTTCCTTCCTTCCCAGCTAAGTTTCCTTCTTTGTACAGCAGCAGCCTTCACACCCAACTTTGTGAATAGATCAATTATATTAGAAGACTACAGTCAGCAAGACCCATACAATTTGCCTTTTCTTGGTATTGTATTACTGATGACAGAGCATTAACCCTTCAGCCCTACTAACCTGTGCACTTTTATTCATGGACATCTGTACTGGTGTGAAAGCATGACTACAGCCCTGTTCAAACAGTAAAAGTCACCATAGGCCATGTGTATTCTCATTTAGAGAGCTGATTTAATCTGACACTCAATGCCTAATGCAAGGTACCTGCCTGCAGCCTGCGCAGAAAGGAAGGCAGCACTGCTGCCCATGAGGGGTGGGCCAGGGCCAGCCAGACCCTTGGTGGGTGCCTGATGCCCAAAAGGGACAATTCAGCTCTGAGGCGGACGGCAGCAGCAGGGGTGTAGCACTACAGAAGGACCCGCAGAAGGAATGGGCGCCTTGTTCCTGGAAGCCCTGGCTGGCCAGAGGTGCTGCAGTGCATTAACTTACCCAGCACAGGCCAGATCTGACACCAAGTCCAGGCACCCCAACACACAGCAAGGCATGCAGAAACACATTTGCAAAGGGAAAATACAGAATACATGTTTTCTGTAAGCAGCACCCTTTTGACCTTGCCATGATTTGCTTCTTTTAAACCAGAACTTTGACCAATGTTAAAATTACCATACTACCAGGGGAAAGGCACTGTGTGATTTTGTGGCTGTTGTTACTGCTGCTTTAGGAGAGCACTAGAAAACCCCTGGTTGTGAGCAGCACCCTGGAACAGGACAGTAAATGTTCCTAAGCTATTGCAGTGCTGACATGATGCCACTCTGCAAGCAGTACATTCAAGACTCTAGTTTCTCTCCATTAATAGGAAGAGAAGCAATAATAAGTGATAGCAGCTGTGGCCATTACTACTTCTGGTTCCCTCAATTACTGGGGAAGCACCATACTCCCTCTCCATGCAGGGTGCCTGCTGTAGCTCTGGGTACAGTTCCGCAGTGGCAAAAGAAGGGCTGTGCTGCACCTTCTTGAGGGCACATGCACAGCAAGCGCTGGCTGTGTCAGGACTGTCGGCTGTCAGGGCTCATTCCACCGGCATGCAGTGCCAATGCCAGCATCCACCTGGCTCAGCAACCATGCTAAGAAGGTACCACGAGACGCTTTGTGCAGTCCCAAAGCAGTGACCAGCAGCAGGGCTTTCATGGTCTCCAGGAAGCAAGAGCATCCTGGTGCTGCTGGCAGTAAGGTGCCAGCCTCCAGCAGCTTTGCAGGGATAAGACAGCCTTGGCAGGCCCCTTTGGGCAGGCAGCATGCCCAGCAGCAGCCACCCCATGCGGGTTGCGAGGCCCTTCACAGCCTGGGCTGCTCGTCCCCAGGAGCTGTGTCCTCTCTCCCAGGCACCGGACACATGGGTGTTGCTTTCCAGTTCACTCTTCCTTACAACAGGGTGCATGGGGAAGGCCTTCAAACACACAGGAACACGCTGGCAGAAATAAAGCCACATGGGCACCCAGAGCAGAGCAGTACCATATATTCACTGTAAAGAACATGCCCAGAACACAAGCTGAAAAGCAGCACAGAAAACAACTAACACAGCAAACGTTTAACCCACCAAAGCCCTGCTTCTCCAACCAGACATTGTTTGTACCAGCCCTCTTTAACACAACACGTATGCTCTGAGAAAAGGTTTAGGAAAAGTTTTAAGAGGAAGCATGTGCCAGCAAATTTAACAAGAATAAACAAATTTCTGAAGTCGTTTCTCCTCCTCCAGTGCTTGTCCAAAAAGACACCATCTCATAGCTAAAACCTGGGTTTCTCTATTATTGAGAAGCCTCTCAAGGAGCAGACCCGCAGGTGGGTGATGCTCCAGGGGCAGGTTTGCATCTGCTGGAACAAGTCTTTGCTGCCTAGGGTGAAGCCGGAGTTGCAGCACTGGGCTAGCATCCCCTGGCACCCCAGTACTGCCCTACATGTCAGCACCCCCATGATCCACAATGGGGAACATCCTGTTGGGGTTTACTGATATCCTCCATTCTGAAGCATTAGGAAATGTTGCAGTACTGCACTCCGACAAAAGACGTACCAATGTTATTCTGATCAAGGAGTTTCTCAGCACTTTTTCTGCCTCAAACTGTTGGCAACCTCTGGTTTTGCAGAACAGAAAGGACAGAGAATTTCCTCCTTCATAAGGCTTTTCCACACTCTGAATAAAACGAAACATCCTGCTGCACAGTTACTCCAGTGGAAACGGCAGATTTTACACCCAGTGCATTCCCAAGGGACACTCCTCTCTGCCAAAGAAGCGAAAGCTGCACAAGATGAACCCCCAGCTACCCAGGTCTAACCATTCCTACACTATTAGCAGAGAATTAGATCAAACGAAGGGACATATGGTCCTTCTAAGCTGCTTATACATATGCACTGTGGACAAAACACTCAGCTAAATTTCAGTTTAGAAAATTATTAGGGTAAAAAAATCAAAAATATAAAAATAAACCTCCCTAAACCACAAGAAGCTATTAATATTTTAGCACTTTCACAGAACATTAGACACATTTACGTCCAATTACGACATATAAAGCATTTTCATTGGGTGTTTTTAAAATGCACGATTAAAACAAATACCTCAGCAGAAAACCTTTGAAGCTATCTCTATACCCAAGTACTGGTGCTGTCTGCAGAGAGCAGCTTCTCACTGGGACATGAGAGCACTTGCTTTTACCATGTTTGACAGTGCCTTTGGCATCAGACTACTGGAGGTTGGACAAATACTCACTGCCTCTGACAGTGTACTATTTTAATAGCTAGCTTCTGTGCACACAGCCTCTTGAGAAGAATGTAGTCTTCCAGAGAAATCTAGGGAGGGATTTTTTTGGGGTGGCTGAGGTTTTTTTGTTACTTTTGCAGTAAGAAGGGGGCATTCTAATTTTGAGGCTTCATTTCCTTTTTTGTCTCTGCATTTCCCAAGGGAAGTTAAAAGGGCTCTCTAAAAAAGAAACAGCCTCTTCTGTTTATGTCCTTTGCACCACTCCCACCCAGACTTCTTTTTTCCACACCAGGCAGCAAAATCACAGAGAGCAACCCACGATGGCTGAGAGGAAGAAGGGTCACCTTGCCTGCGCATCAGCCCTGAGCTTCAGGGCCTCAGAGACCAGGGGCCTGCCAGATGTCCCCAGACACAAGACATCCCCATCCACAACTGCTCTCGAGCTGGCCCTCTGCCCTGGTTAGAACCAGGGCATCTCCAGGCATCTGCTTGGGTTACATTGCCCTCAAGCGCAAGCACACAGGGTGTAAAATGTAACTATTCTAACATTTTAATGGCCACAATGCCCCAGTCAAACCTGTTATTTGGCATTTGAGAATGCACTAATATTGCAGAGTTAAGCTGTCTCTAATTTAAACATGATGACCACATGAGTTTAATTAATATGAATGGTAGACTTTTCTTTAGAACAAGCAGAGCAGCAGAACCCCTCACACATGGGGGTTTTCAATTGCTATCACCTATTGCCAGATGTTATGTCTATCCCACAGGCACTGCAATCAGCAGGTTGAAGATGAGACCATCTTCCAGTCCCATTATGCATGGGGATTAAACAGAACTGGAATAAACCATAGAGTTTACAAGAAATATGCCCCAAAAGTCCAGGAAAGACAGAAATAACCATTATCATCCTCATCAATCACCACTGTGAGGCACTGAATGGCTACGAACCCGTCTGCTGCAGCCCTGCCCTGCAGCTCTGGGATGACCCACCAGCCCTACTCGCTGCCCCTGCTTGGCTCCCTGTCCCACACCCCAAGATGCCAGCACTCTGCCTGGTGCCCCCCATCACATCTCTTGTCCCACAGGAGTCCTGCGGGACTGCTGCAGTGCCCATGCCGCAGTGCTGCTCCCACACTTCCCGCAGGCTCCCATTTCCAGCGTTCCACGCCTCATACCCCTGTGCTGATGGGAAGGAACAACCTTCACTGCACTGACTGCCAGAGCAGGAATCAGGTCTGAAAACGGAGCAGCAAACCCAGTCCCGCATGAGTTGGGCACAGCATCCCTGCTGCTGAACACAATGTGTTTTTCCAGCATTGGCACTAGGCAAAGCCATTGTGGCAGCAGGACCAGGCTCTCGGACGGGGCTGAGAAGGGTGCGCAGTGAGTGGCTGGTCACCACTGCCAGACCCAGCACCGCAGGATGAGGGTGCTCAGGGTCTACATGTCAGGCACTCTCTTGGTGAGGTCCAGTGGCAGAGTCCTGCTGCTCCACCAGCACCCAACCCCAGCAAGCCAGACCCCAGCAGGAGGAGAGGGACCCCGGCACCCTCCTCCTGCTCCTCCTGGCCCCACAGTAGGACCCACTGAGCAGCAACCCACAGGCCCCAGCACAGCTCTGGGGTGGCAGTTACCGTGAGGCTGGCTGGTGTACGGAGTGAATAGTTTATTTTACACAACATAACAACACAGCGTTGCTGTTCTTGTACAGCATCTGCCTAAAAACAAAGGCAACACCATTGTCACGGAAAAGAAATATACAGTCTGACCGTTTTAAAAAATATCATTTTACTGATTGATCCAGAAGTGGTTATTTGTTAGCTTGGAGGAAATTTCATTTCCTTTATAAAAGGCTTTTTCTGTGAAAACTCTCTCTTTTGTTTTCTGCTACTGCAGAACCAGGAAGCCAGTCCTAGAGTAGGGAAGGCACTGGTGCTGTTTCATGCTTCTTTTTCACCCCTTAATCTTTTTTTTTTCCTTTTTTTTTTATTTTTATACTTTTAACCTCTAAATGTTGCCTTCGGTTTTGATATTAAATAAAACCAAATGAAAACTAAATAAAACCCCGTGTGCACTGGGTGGCTTATACAGAACCCTGCATGAACAAGCCATTAATCAGCGAGACAGCAGTGGACTTCCAAATCCAATTCCCTGGAAGAGGGAGATTCACACGTTTGGCATTTTTTCATTGAAATAAAAACTAAAATAAAAAAAGAAAAATAATAACAAAAAAAAAAAGGCAGGTCACACAGTGCTTTCCAATATCCACTCAGAACTGGAGAAAGTTGCTTTTCCACTATTCACATCAGAGCTGTCCGACTGAACTAGCATCCCATTCATGGACATGCTCCTTTTGGACCGCAGTCCGCCTGCGCCCCAGGTGCTGCCGGGGCAGCGGGACTCCATCAGCTCGCCGCCCAGGGAGAGCCTGCGCTTGGCTCGGGATGCGTCAGCTGGCAAAGTGAGGAACTTACTTGGCTTTGATTGTGCTCTTTTGTACGTGGGGGCCCCTTTGACAGAGTCAGGGGGACGGCTAGCTAACTGCAGGGCAGTGGAGTTATTTCTGTTACTGTTTTGGGACTCGATACTGCTGACAGCTTCACTCTGCGACTCGCTGCTTGGCTTTGGCCCCGACTTTCGCTTCTGCTTCTGGGAGACAGAAGTGCTAGAAGTCCAGGTGGGAGGCAAAGTGGAGGTAGTAGTGGCCGAGTCCTGGCTGGAGCCAGTCTCTGGTGACTGCGTCACGCCATCGCTAGCAGCCTTGCAGCACTGGATGCCCTCTTCATGCCCAACAGCCTGCTTGGACATCGACTGCGACAGCACCCCACTGCAGCCCTGGATCTGAGCCCCGTTCGTCTGTGAGTATACGTTGCTGACCTTGGTGGCCTTCTGCTGCCCGTTGTTGTTACACACCTTGTAGCGGATCATGAGGATGATGATGAACACAAGCACAGAGGCCACAATGATCCCACCAATGATGATAATCATGGTCCCACCCAGGAACTGGGACTGCATGAAGTGGCAGCGCACATAATCCTGCTCAGTGGTGAACTGCGTGCAGCCCACCACCCTGGTGGCGGTGAGCGAGGTGATCCCGTCGTCGTAGATCGCCAGGACGCAGAGGTCATACACAGTCCCAGCAGCCAGGTTGTTGACCAGGAAGGTTTTGCTTGTGGGAGGTATCATTCTGAGGGAGAAGGAAACTAGTGTGAATGAACCCAGAAAACCCACAGGCACCTCCCTGCTGTGTGTCACGCTCCCTGGCAGCAGTGAGCACCACCAAGCAGGCCGCCAAGAGAGTGACCACGTCAAAAACATAAAAGAAATTGCCAAGCAAAGACAGTTTTGACCAGTGTGACTGTGACACCCGGTAGCACAGAGCCCCTCCGAACTCAGCTAACACACCAGCATGGACACTTCCTGAAAATGTACAAGGAATGCATTTCCAGACACCTTTCTCCCTGTGTTTTCATAAAGCTGAGAGTGTTATGATCCATTTAACTCATCTAAACTTCACAACCTTTCTGCCAATCACATTAGTTCAGAGGATTAGAGATCCATTTGCATTATCTAAAAATAACACTGTTCAAGATAATTTCCCTATTTGGGATGAGTCTTTCCCGCAACTCCCAGCATCTGCTCCACAGGCAGGGTGCTGCGTGGGAACCTGCTGCTCCAGTGGGGAGGCTACCTGGAGCCAGGGGCAGCACATCAGTGCTGAGCAGCCTGGTAGGGCCCAGCACAGCAGGGCTGGGGCTGCCTTACCTGTAAACAAGGGAGTCATCATAAGTACCATTGTACTGGATTTGGAACATACGTATCCCAGGTATATTCCTCTGAAAATTGAATTTCAGCAGAGCAGTAGAAGATGTTGCTTCCGCAACGACCACCTTCTTATCTTGGCTGACTTTAGTATCCCCATTGCTACTGCTCGCGTTGGAGCCTGACTTGGTGGAAGTAGAGATATCCGAGGAGCCAGGGTCAGGCTCATGGATGTGGTTCGTGCTGTTCAGCAAGTGGGGGAGTTTGATTATGTGCAGGTCCACTGTCTGCGTGGCCTCCCCAGCTGGATTGGAAGCAATGCAGGTGAAGGAGCCTGTATCCTTCACCGTTGTTATCAGGATGTCAAGTGTCCCGTTGTCATACACCACAGACCTCGTTGCATTTGAAATCAGTTTGCCCTCAGGTGAAATCCAATGAATTGCTGGCTCAGGGTCCCCCCGGGCCTTACACCGCAATGCTGCCCGCTGGCCCTCCAGCACCCGCAGCTCATGGGTGTGCCGGGTGATGAGAGGAGGCTCACACAGGAACTCCTCCTCAGGGATTGACCAGAAGTACCGGCCAGACAAGAGCGTAGGAGAAGCACAAGTCTCCAGGTCATCCTCCCTTGAAAGACGCCTCAACCACAAAAGCTCACAGTTGCAATGCAAAGGGTTCCCACCAAAGCTCAATGCAAAAGTCGAGGGGCTGATAATTCCTGAGGTTGCTAGTACTTGAGCTCGCTGGAAGAGAGGATCAGGTGGTAGCTTCTGCAGTTTGTTAGACGTGACATCCAACCTGGTCATTTTGTGCAGGTGGGAGAAGGTCCCCTTGGGAATATGGTCAATCATGTTATGGTCTAGACTGAGAGTGTGCAAACTAACCATCTTCTCCACGGCATCCCAGGGGATGGTTTCCAGGTTGTTGTAAGACAAATCCAATTCCTCAAGAGCTAAAACATCATCAAAAGCTGTAGAAGAAATTAAAGTCAGCTGGTTGTTGTTAAGTATCAAGTGGTGAAGATTGGAGAGTCCACTGAACATGTCATTTGTGATCTTAGTCAATCGGTTGCTGTTCAGATGCAAAGCCCGCAAATTACGCAAGTCAGCAAATGCGTGAGGTGTAATAAAACTGATTGTATTCCTGGACAGTGTCAGGTCCACCAGGCTGGTCATATTGGCAAAGTCCTTCCTTTTAATGTTTGTAACAAAGTTGTCTGCCAGCCGTAACTCCACGGTCCTCCTGTCAATATTGGGAGGAACAAATAAGAGCCCTTTCTTGGCACAAAGGGTGGCAAGGTTCGGAGACAAAATCTGACAGACACAGCGCTTTGGGCAGATCTGAGCTCTCACCGCTATGCCAATGAACAGCAGAAACAAAAGCAGTTTTTCCATTGTAGATCAGGTTCAAGAGCCTGTAAGGGAGAGCAAACGTTTGTTAGTCTCTGCAAGATGAGCAAATGACATTATGAAAAATCAAAAACAAACTGTCTGTGATTAAATCATGAAGCTGAGGTTCATGTAATGGTGCATCATCCTTATGTTGTTACCTGATGTCTTTATCATTCTCCATATCCTGACACAACAGCTACGATACTACATTCCAGAAGAACATTGAGAGACAGGTATCTTTGCATACACACATATATAACCACAAACATCCAGACACCTATATACAAATGGTGTCAGCAGTGTCCTCTGGGGCCCTGCTGCTAGAGCTCAGCTCTGCTGTGCAAGGTACCTCCATGCCAAGCACTCCACTTTCTGACAGAAGCTTCTGACCTCGCTGCCTGGAGTTACTTTGCCATAATGCCCTTTATGTATTGAAAATGAGAGGTTATTCATGTGCACTTCACTTGCTAGGACAAAGCTCCCAGCGGCCTCTAAATCATGGCAATTCAATGAGTTTACAGACATCTCTACCAAACAACTAAGCTCTTAACTCTATTTTCAGAATAAACTTGGAAGGAACTAATTTTGTGTTATTCCAGACCCCAAAATGCAAATAAAACAACTTAAAAAAAAAACCAAACCAAACAAACCCCCCACCCCCCAGAAAAAAAAACAAACAAAAAAAACAACTAAAAAAAAAAACCAAAAAAAAACCAAGAAAAGCCCCCCATAACAACAAAGGTCTAAATAAAAATGGAACATGAGCTAATTTTAGATCATCACTGTTTTCCCAGCTCCCACAACCAGTAGCACTGAACTCTTCTCCCAGAAAACCTGACAGTTCCATTAGCCTTATCTCATACCCTGCCAGATCCAGGATCTTCAGAGTATGGAAACAAGGAAGAAAACAACAGTGCCCACACCAGTTAAATGAAATCATCCATCATGACTGTGCCAAAAATTCAGTGAGCACAGCGGTGCTGGTTTCTGCACCACGATGCGTCAGCATCCCCCATGGCACAGGCAGGCAGGGAGAAGGCGTCTACTCCTCCATGGAACAGGAGGGCTGGAGGGAGCATGGTCCTGTGGAGGAAGGGAGACCTATGTGTCTGAGAAGAAACTTGTGCAGTCGTAAGCAACGGAGCACAGAGGGACTCACATCGGAGATGAAGCTCCCTTCAGGACTCATAAAATTATACATGTACAGATAGGATTACTCAGATGTATTATCAACATAGAAATGTACTAATGAAGCTCATCTAAAATAAAATTAACTTTCACAACCATCAAGCATCTTGAATAGTCACAGATATTTAAAGACATTTAATGTCAGAACAGCAATTAGTCCAGTCCATCCATAGTCCATGACCAGTGCCATGCAAACTAAGAGGAGCTAACAAGTTGCAAATAAGATGAGTGAAAACGCTGGCCTCTAAACCCTGCTCTTTAGCACTATCTATTTATTTTTTTTCCTGCTATTTCTGGGGACTGCTGGGTTTCATGACAACTGGCTTCAGTCCTTGAGTGGCCACTGGAAAAAACCCTCAAGTATTCTACAATACTCATCAACTGAGTATGCTCCTGCAGCATGGCCTACCACTACTGCAGTTCTGGGAACCATTACCATAGCCATTACCATTACTCCTACCATTAATTCTGGCAGAAAACTGTTTCGTGGGTTCAGTTTTGTCCAGCCTGTGCTAGCACTGCAGGTCAGGGTTGTTCTACAGGTGAAATGGACTTGGAGGAGAACAGTGATGCTGAGATTCATGTGGAAGCAGCAGCTCAGGGCATCCTCAGCATGACTGCCAGGGTCCCCAGACAGCCTTGGCGGGGGACACTATGCTCATTTAGATTTGCTAACTCAATAATGCTAATTTAGATTTGTAGCTGTGATTAAAGTAATGTGCTTGGATTCAAGTTCATCTGAAGAACTATACAAGATTAAAACCAAATCAGCAAGGTGAATTTACACTTTGGAAATACTGTTACAAGATGAAACAGAGATGTAAGGAGACGCAGACTTAAACAACAGCTGGAATGACAAGGTTATGACAAGGTTGCCCACCAGTGGATGTAGGTTTTTTGGATTTCAGGAGAGCTTTTGATACAGTCTCTGACACTATTCTCTGGACAAAATGCCCAGCACATGGCAAGCACATGGCAAGCACAATGCAAGAGTCAAACACTGGGCTGAAGGGTTGGGCTTTAACGGTTGTAACAAATGGGGTGAGATCCTGCTGGTGGCCAGTCACTAGCTATGCCCCCAGGACTCAGGTTTAGGTTTAGGGCCAGTCCTGTCCAGTATTTCTACCAGTGACCTGGACAGGGAGGTGAGCACACACCATGTAACCCTGCCAATGACACTAACCTAGGAGGAGCTCCTCAAGGGTACTTATGGAGAGGTCTTGGTGGATCAGAGCACTAGCAACCACCAGCCCCATTGATTGTAATGGGGAGATTCATGACCTGGGACCTGATCTGTCTGCCAGTATACCTCAGCCCTCTTGCATATCTGCCAGTGGCTGCTGGCACCATAACGGGCCCCTCGGCAGCCTCACCTGGGGAGGGAGGACTGACCCCATGCGATGGGGACAGGACTGTGCCAGCACCCACAGGACTTTTAAAATCCCTCCAGGTCCATCAGCTCTCTCACACTGCAGCTTGGGAAACTGCTGGGGGGGAAATGAGGAGGGCAGAGAAAAGCAGGCATGACATTTCTCTTGGACCATGTACAAGCCCTGCATGGGAGCTGGTCTCCACATTGAGCTGTCTTAACCAAAGCCAGAGGTGCCTGTGGGCTCCCACTGCTGCCCAGTGTCCAGCTGTTCCTGGTAAACAGTTTGTTAACCAACCTTATCAGGTTTTTTTTTAAGTGTCACATAAGTTGTCATAGAATCATAGAATACTAGGTTGGAAAGGACCACAAAAATCATTTGATCCAACCTAGGCTATATGTCCTAGCACCCTGGCCAGCTGAATCTTGAAAGTGTCCAACACTGGGGAATCCACCACTTCCCTGTGGAGATTATTCCAATGGCTGATGGTTCTCATTGGGAAAAATTTTCCTCTTGTGGCCAGCTGGAATGTCCCCAGGAGTAACTTGTGCCCATCACCCCATGTCTGTTCTGACTCCTTGTAAAAAGGGAGTCTCTGTCTTTGTTGTAGCCACTCTTCAAATACTGGAATATGGTGATAAGAAGTGTGAGCAAAGCTTAAAAGAAGTTGCGTGTTTGCACAAATGCTCACAAGTGCCCCAAGATCTGTATGTCATGCAAAGATATACTGACATTTGCAGCTGAAGCTGTACTGGACACTTCAATTGATAGAAACAGCAAAACCACACATGGATCTCGATGACTGCACCCAGCCTGCGTGCCCCCACTGTGTAGGGACAGAGACAACCCATCCTCCCCAGGCTGGACATCAACCCTCGCCACAGGGGCAGCAGAAACATTTCACCACCTTGCTGAAAGAAGCCAAAATATTTGCCTGTGGGTATGTTCAGTGTACTGAAGTCTCATGGCTATGGCCCACAACCGAGATACTCTAGAAGGCAGCAGGAACTGCAGGATCTAGTGGCTTAGAACAGCTGCCATAAGAAGGCATGACTTTTGAAAGTCAGCCAGGCCATGCATCCTCTCCTGTCCCAGCACACATCTTCCTGCACACAGACAACTTGCAGTGACAACAGCATTGACACAGTTTACAGCTCATTGTAGAAAACACCTTTTTGACATAGCAAAGAGTTATCTGATTATCATTACTTAAAAAAGAAAGAAAAAGAAAGCATATTATTACCATTAAACACATAGAGATATGCTAGTATCCTAGTATCTTATTCTTTAGGGACTGTAGTGATAGGACAAGAGGTAACAGGTTAAAACTTAAACAGGGGAAGTTTAGATTGGATATAAGGAAGAAGTTCTTTACTGTAAGGGTGGTGAGGCACTGGAATGGGTTGCCCAAGGAAGATGTGAATGCTCCATCCCTGGCGGTGATGAAGGCCAGGCTGGACAGAGCCTTGGGTGGCATGGTTTAGTGTGAGATGTGCCTGCCTATGGCAAGGGGTGCTGGAACTAGATGATCTTAAGGTCCTTTCCAACCCTAACTATTCTGTGATTCTGTGATTCTGTGAAGGTGCACATTGCTTTCATTTACTACTTGGTGTCTGCAAAAAGATAGGGATAGTCAAGCTCCTACGGTGGCATTTCTGATTCACACACACAAAAAAGCTCTCATATACCAATTATAAATCAATTTAGTTACTACATTTAATAATTTGAGTTATTAAATCTATCTATAAAAACTAACTACAAATCACAGTGGGCTGTATGGCTCATTGCCATACAGATGGGAAAATTGTGTCTCTGAAGAGGAAAGGACCCCATCAGCCTCTGGTGCATGGTGCCTTTGGGACTGGGGCCTGCTACTTCTCCTACTGATTTGAAATGGCTAAACTAGGGCACTGTCCCCACACTTGTAGCCCCTGTTCCAGAGCAGAGGAAGTCCTTCCCCTTATTCATTTTTCACAGCTACATAGTGGGTCTGACACCAGTTCAGCAGAGCAGAACTCTTCTTTCCTGTCAGCCCCATTCCCACCTTAGCCATGCCCCCAGTGCGGACTTTGGTCTCCAGATGCCCCAAGTCCCTTTGGCTGTAAATCAGCCATCCCTGCACAGAGGAAGTACCTTGGGCTCATCTGGGCCAAAGCCCGTGCTATGCCCAGGGCACTGTGTCTGTGGGGGAGAGGCTGTGCCTGTGCACACCTCAAAGGTACCCCATCAGCAGCAGGGTAGGAAAATAAATGACCATCTACTGGTTCTAGCACCAAATTGAGGTCATGTAAAGGGCTAATGAATTTGAAATTTGGAATTGATCCAAGAGACATGAGAATGAAATGTCATGATGTACGCCAAGCTGAGATTGCTCCTCTTTCCTGATGTGCTGCTTGCTTTTTGGCTTTTTGCCCCATCTTCTTTGGGAGAAATAGGTTTTCTGATACTTAGTACAGCATCTGCTGCCATGTCCACTGCTATAAAGGGTAATTTACATATTGTGAAGTACATAACATACGGAAGCAGCGGGATCCAGGAGACAGTAATTAATTAGCAAACGATTTCCACTGCATCCGATCCAGTTCAGATGGTAGGTGCTACATAGAGTCAATGAGCCGGGTAAACCCAATACAGCACTCTGGTAGCTGTTCGGAGTCAGCTGCTAATACAGTGCTTGGCTCAGACATAATCTGTCATCACTGAGGTCACGACAGAAGATATTGACCGCCTTTCCTAACCCTCCAGGCCTCAGCAGAAGTGGTGATTTTAAGGTCTTTGCAAATGCAATTTCATGGTAGGAAAAAAAAAAAAAGAGGTCTAGCAGCTGATGATGTTCACCTGCTGGGAATGAAGGATGGGGAAATAGCTGGCACCAGTTACCAAAATCATCCTGCCGCCATGCTAAAATGGGCACATAGAAATGAAGGTGCTGTGATATATGGCATACCAATTGCTAAAACTACTTAAGTAGAGAACAAGGAGCTTCAATTTCACAAAGGTCAAGGGTTTGTAAGCACGCCTGAGTGTTTTGCTGAATTGGAAACACAGTGCCTAAAAAACCAGAAACACTCAGAACAAAGAACCTCCCACAGAGGTTTCCCCAGGGGCTCTGCTGGCTTCAGCTGCTGCATGGACCACAACCAGGGACCAGAGCCACAGACCAGGACCATGGTCTCTCACCCCAGCGGTATGCACTACGTGCTCCACCAGAGGCAAAGCCCTCACACACTGCTGAGGGGTAACATCTGAAACAGGCAGTAAGGAGCCCTCAGCTGCAAGGCAGCTTCTGATGTCCAGCCTGCCTATTAGCACTGCAGGGAGCACATGCTGCTTTGGTGCTTTGACACTTACAACACTTCCTGCAGGACTGAGCAGGGGAATCACCATGTGGAGACATGCTATGAAGGAAATAGTGCAGCCCCGTCTTTGTTAAGGGGCTTCAAACACTGCAACAAATACATCTGCACCCCACCTAACACCTGGGAATTTAACAAACCAGAGGACATCAAATCCTGCTTGCTCCAGGACCTCCTTCGGCCTGCCTGATACTGCAGCAGGTCAGGTGTACTCCAAGGTGATGGCCCCCTGTAAATACTGAGGAACAGTGCTGGAGGCTGGCTGGCTAATGAGCTGTGTTCACATAGCTCTTCTCATTTCCCTCCAGCCTTAAAGCTGCAAGCCACACGTATGCAAAGCAGCTCATCCTGGGAGGCAATTTTTCTCCCCGTAACGAGGCAAGATTAAAGTGAACAATAACAATTATATTAATTAAAGAGATTTCTAGAGAAAGCAGAACCAGTATCAGTAAGCTCTAGACCGTGCCACGTGTCTGCCTGGCTACCTAAGAGCAAAGCTTCCACTGTTTTCCCAGTTGCAACAGCACAATGGTGTTGAAAATGAAGAGTGAGGCAGACACTGCCCAAGAGCTCATGGGGGTCTGCACCCCTTCCCTGGGGGGTGCAGAATGGCAGGGCATAAGCCAGACAGCTTCAATAATGGAACAGTCATTATAGCAGGACAAAATGCCCACCCTAACAGTATATTAACTTCTTAATTCCTTTATTAATTAATTAACCATTTACTAAATTGGCACAGTTAAGTTTCTGAGGAAGAGTTCAAATATTAAACTGCTAGAAAAAATGTTGGCTGCTGCACAATAACAACAACAGGATGTGCTACCAGGACTCTTCAAGCATTGCATGGGGAGTCCTGGTATTGTGGAGACCTTCCACCTCCCCTGCCCTGGGCTCCCTCCCCATAGCTATCCAGAGGGAAGGTCTGCCCTAGAAAGTGCTAGGTGTGAGAACAGTAAGTAGTAATTACATTATCCAGGGAACCAAGTATAGTAGCAGAAACTATACAGAGAGTAGCATGAAACCACTACATAGCAGCATACACTGAAACAAATGCATGAAATCCCAACAATCTCCAAGTGATTAATGCTTTGATTCACAACACACTACGTTTGTATTCTCCTGTGCAGAGTAAGCCTTTCCCTGAAGGAAGGAGTGATTATGCAAACTATCAGGGAGTCCTTCACTCAAGCAGTACCAATATCACTAAAGACACTTTGTAAGAAAAACCTGTATCTTGAGAACATTTGCCTGTGTCTGGTTATAGACAGGCTACGACAAACAGCTGATGATACAGCACATGGGCACTGAGATGGTTTGTCTGACACAGGGGGGACCACAACCAGACTGACCTGTAACCCAGGAAAACAGTGTTCCCAGGGGAAGGGACCAAGCCAGAGGTGACATAGAGCAAACAGGGGGAAATGCAAGCAAACTGGAATGAGGAGCTCAGGGAGAGATGTGAAAGCCAGCTGCCAGTCACTGGGCATGACAGACGATCCCTTAAAGCCAGGGTGTTACCAGGCAACCGACCCACAGCTTATGTGGGACTAATGGAAACAACAAGGCACAACTGCAACTGTCACACTGCCACTGCTCCTACTAATGGATGCCAGCCCCACGGAGCCAGCACAGCCCTGGGCGCAGCACTGCTCCCTTGTGCCATCCTTGCAGGGCTCCACACCTCGTCTTCAGCCTAGTCTCATTTTGTAATGCATCTGAATTTTCCCGTGCTGCATGCCGATGGGCAATAGCATCCCACCAGCGTTTTGGCATGTAGGTAAGGTGGATGGCTGGGGGTATCCTGATACCCGAGTCTGGCATATGGGCCAGACAATACATCATACCACATTTTAAAGCTTAGGCTGAAGGCCTAAACCTTTCGCAGAGAGGTTTGACATCTCTGCTGAAGGACCACCAGGAGGATGTGAGCCATGAGCACCCATGCAGACAAGGGGTCCGGCATGGGCATAAGGGGAAGCACTGGCTGTTTTGGGGATGCAGCTTCTCAGCACACAGACAAACTCCTGACAGGCCAAAACAGCCTCGAGGGTTTGCTGCAGCAGGAGAGAGGCTGTGTCTTGAACTGCAGTAGAAGGATACTATACTCATTATTACTGTCAATTTTACACATTCCTCAGTTGTCCATCTGCCTGGAGACAGCCACGCAGGACAGAACTGTCAACTGCCAGAAGAAAACTGAGGTGCTGCAACAGTTCAGCTTTTTACACCCCACAGTTCATCTGTTCCATCACTGACTCTATTGCCTTCAATTGCTTGTAATCTTCAACATTGCTACCTGCACTTATTTTTTTGTGCTGGTTTTATTATAAACCATAAAATCAAAGTGCTTTGATCTACTACTTTATTTGAAAGTCTCATCAGTGTAAAACAGACCGATGATGCATGAGGAGCACCAACATCATTGCAAACTCAGGGTGCCCTGGCCTGTAATCCACTGTGCCTGATCCCTGTGTAGTCCTAGTGCTGATCCCCGGGAATGTGGCTGCTCCATGTCTTTCTGTGATTGTCCCAGAGCCTGGGCATTCACTGCCCCAGCCTCTCTCACTGCCTCCAACCTGGCTTTGGAGCTGGCAGGGGACAGGACACAGGTGGTTTGCAGTTCTGGAGTTCACTGGCTGCAAAGTCACCTGGTGAGCACCAGCATCGCTAATGGGGAATGCAGGATTTGCTACGGTCACTGGTACATCTCAACCTGAACCCTGGTGCTAGAAGCAGCTGATGCTCACCCACTTTCAGAAGGCACCCTGGAGCAGACAGCGCAACCCTTCCTGGGACAGACCCACACCTCCTGCATGCTTTCACCCTTCCTATGCATGCCCTGCTACCTGGGATGTGATTATCTCAGCCTGCAGTGCCACTAATGATGTCAAAATTACACACCCCGCTTCAATTCCCACACCCTGTTTGGTCACTGACCTCAGTAAAGGACCTTCATATATACTGTATTGCAGTTCTCCATCCTGAGTAAAAATCCTCCCTTGTGTCATCACAGCTGGCCAGCTTATTTAGGAAATAAAGGGGAAATGATGTGAAGGCAATTCCATCAGGTGAAGGCAGACACCCCTGCAGCAGACAGAACCACTGAGAGTAGCAGGACCTTGGAGACCACCTCATCCATCCCACCCCAGCTCAGGCAGGGTGGGCTGAAGCAGCATCTCCCAGCACCCCAAACCTTGCTACAGCAGGCACAAGGGGAGACCCAGGCTCAAAGCAAGGGCCCTGGGGAAGCACTGCAAATTCACACAGGGATGCTGCCTCTCCTTGCATGATGTATTGTGCTGTTTCTCACATGTCTTCTACACAACAAAATGTTTCAGCTCTTGCCTTTGCAGAGTACATCTTAAAAACATGCCCATAAAACTCAGAAATTGAGCAGAAAAATACGGTAATTATGCTTTATTTACTTTTAAAGCACTTTATCTTAGAATTGTTTGGTATTCTGTGGAACAAACAACTCTCAAAAAATGCCAAGTCCTCAAAAAGGTAAAAACGGTGCTGGGTTCCCTACGCCAGTGCAAATGGAGCATGGCTCCCAAGTCACAGCTGAAGGGTTTCCAGCAGGAGTCAGGGAACACAGACACTCTCCAGGCACCCAGTTCCCCCCCTTCTGCTGACCCAGCTTTGTGTCCTGGATTTCCACAGGAGAGCCAAAGCCTTCCTGGGATGTGTGGGGAGGCTCAAGATCCCAAGCCTGAGGTTCACCATGCCCAGGGGCACTGCCAATGCTCACAAGCCATCCAACGAACCCCCTTGCCTTCAGCAGCAGGCTTACCTGGAGCACGTGCCACACCAGCAGCATATACCCCATGACACTGGGTGAGCGCTGTTAATGCAGCAGAGATGCAGGGATTTCTAGGAATTTGGTTTGATTTCCTTTCTGGTTCTGCTCCTGCTACTTCCCACACTGACCGTCCCTCTCACATACACATGTTCCAGCAGGCTGTTCTGAACACACAGTGGCCAGCACCCTCACCGCATGGTGAGTCCCCTGCACTGGGCTGATAAGGAGGCAGCTTCCAATATGCTTCCAGCATGCCCGCTGCTGGTGTGGCCCTGAGCCCATGGCCACTCACAAGAGCTACACATGGCACTGCTCGGCTAAAACGAATGGACATGAAATACACTGAACTAAATGCTGAACAAGTCATGAGGAAGGCTGGTCTGACACGCAGGGCTGTGGCGGAGGCAGCTCATTAGGCATTTGTATCACAGACAAGGAGCCGAGAGTGATACACGGGATGACTCAACACGGCAGCGCAGGAACACGACTGCAGCTCTGGAAGTTATTAATAGCTGTGCTGTGAGAAAAAAGAGCCTGGCAATCCCCAGCGGCCCTGATCCGCAGGGCTCAGAGTGGCACTTCTCCCTGGCTCTGCCATGGCTTGGGGAGACGGGTACTCTAACACTGACTTCTGAGGAAAGCCCTGGTTAAAAACATTGTGGTAAAAACACAGGCTGTGGAGAATGGTAGGAAATGTACTGTGGCCACGGGCAGGCTGTAGCAGCCTCTATAAAATATGTGCATCATGAGTACCTTTTCTTTCTCTCCGTTCTTCAGTAATTATTATAGAATCAGAATCATAGAATGGCTTGGGTTGGAAGGGACCTTAAAATCACCCAGTTCCAACCCCCCTGTCATGGGCAGGGGCACCTTGCACTAGACCAGGTTGCTCCAAGCCCTGTCTAACCTGGCCTTGAACACTGCCAGGGATGGGGCAGCCACAGCTTCTCTGGGCACCCTGTGCCAGTGCCTCACCACCCTCACAGGGAAGAATTTCTTCCTAACATCTAATCTAAATCTCACCTCTGTCAGTTTAAAGCCATTCTCCTTTGTCCCATCCCTACAGGTCCTTGTCAAAAGCCCCATGCCAGATTTCTTGTTTACTCCTTCAGGCACTGGAAGCTGCTCCAAGGTGAGACACCAGAGCCTTCCCTTCTCCAGGCTGAACAACCACAGCTCTCTCATCCTGTCCCCATAGTAGAGGTGCTCCAGCCCTTGTAGCATCTTCACAGCCTCCTCTGGACTCTCTCCAACAGATCCACATCCTTCTTATGTTGGGGGCTGCATAGCTGAGCAATGCAGCTGCGTGCAATACAGGAAAGGCAGCATAACCACTCCCATGACCTCCCACTGCCTCCCTCCTTTAGGTCCCAAAGCTCTTGGCCCCGCAGTGCAGAAGGGACTGTGCTGTGGGTGAGCACAGCCCTCTCCTGCATCCAGCTCTGGGATGGTCTGAACCCAGCACCCATCACCCTGCATACCCTGAGCACCCCACACACAGCAAATGAACTCCTGCTGTGGCCAGAGCCCCGCAGCAATGGATCTCACCAAAAACCATCTTGAGTATGGCAGCAAACAAGCACTGAGTTTTAAAGTCAGGAACACCAAGCTATTGCATTTTCCAACTCCTGAGGCATTGCCATACAAAATACTGTACAAATATGCTAAATGCTGACTCTAATAGCAGCATCAATTGTACAGCTTAAAAATGCAAGCAAGCCTAAGTGAATAAACTGAATAATTGTTTAAACAAAACAGCTTTTAACTTATCAAAACATTTTTGTTGAATTGGGAGATCGTGGCGTTTTCAAAACTAAGTGTTTTTTGCAGCATCAAAACAGAACACAAACGTGAAAGGATTTGCTTTGACAATTCTCTGTCAGCAAGTTTGCCAAAGCAGCATGTTCCCCAGCTGCTGTGCTTGTCCCTGCAGAATCCACCCTGAGTTATCCAGCCAGCACGCTCCCCGTGGACACTCACAGCAGGCAGGGCTGTGCATGGAGGGCAAGTGGCAAGGCCTGATGCCGCGGGGACAATCTCCTTGGGGCCACCAGCACCCTGATACCCTGTGGCGCAGTTATATACTTGCACGAGCATTCTGCGGACCCATTCTCAGGAAGGATGCACAAAGGATGACAGGCAGGAAGCCAAAGAGAAGGGAGACTGACACAACCTAGGACGTCTGGCCAAGCAGCAGATGCTCTCACAGTAAAACGTGTAACTCACACAGCCACATCTCCTGTGCAGGCTGCTTGGCTGGCACTCATGGCTGGGTGAGGGCAGGGGTGCCCTGTCCCAGCAGCCTTTCCATCTGACAGGGCTGCTCCTGGTGCTGCACGTGCCTGAGTAGCCTCATCCACCCCACCACCAAGTGTCAACATCTACATCTCCTTGTCACCTCAGGGTGGGAACAAATGCAGCAGCACAAACCGCTCTGCAGGATGGATGCTCACAGGCAGAGATCTGAAAAGTTCAGAACGTGTCTTGAAATTATACATTATATTAAATTGAACAGAGGGTAAGAAAATGCCTGACATCTCCCAGTTCCAGCCAATTCAGCATGCCCCTGTGCAACGTTCAGCACCCCAGCATACTAGTGGATTGTGCCTCAGGCTCAGGTTTATCTTCCTCCCCACCCATATTTTGGAGGCTGCAGCCCAGCCCCAGTGTCTGATTCAGAGGCTCTTGCCTCTGAGTTCCTGCTGCATGTCCAGCGTCATAGTCAATGAGTGAGGTGGGGAAACCCAGACAGCACATGAATACTCACAGGGATCTGATCATTTATCCTCCAAGGAGTCAGGAGAGCTATTTTATTCAGGTATCCACGTGGACCTGGGGTAGCAAAAAGGATCATAAAAATTATATATCCCCAAAACAGGGACACCAGAATGTCCTTTCTTCCCTCCACATGTGGATGAGGAGGAGCCTCAGCATGAAAATTATCTAGAAGGATTATTCCATCTTTGATTGGATCCTAACAAAAGGTGGGCACTACTGCACACTGAAACCTGGAACATACTGTGCCAAACCCTGACACACATTGCCACAGACAGGTACATGGAAGAGATGGTGCAAGCAGCAAAGCCAGAACAACATCTACCGGTACCAGAGGCTCTTGGCAATAGGATCCCAGAGAAGAAGCAGGACACATCCTGTAAACTTGGATGCAGACTCAGCACCAACTGGCCACCAGCCTGAACACTGCTGCTTGAAACAAAGCCATGGCAAGAAAGAGAGTGAATGCACACCATGGTGCTGCAGCAGGCTCTTGCAGCCCCACCTAAGCACTCCAGCTGTGGAGATCCTTGCCTAAAAACAGCAAAGCAAACACCTCCACCAGGCTTTAGATTCACTTCGGAGACACTGGTTCACTCCTGGAAACTGCAAAGAACATAAGAGATGGAGAAAGCATTACCTTACCAAGGGCTGTGTCACATGAAGGCTTTTGGAGCTGGGAAAGCTCAGATTTACCCAAAGCCAAGACATCCAAGTGCAAAGGCCCAGGGGCACCCAAGGTCCCCTGGTGTTTTAACCAGGGCATCAATAGGAACTGCTC